GGCGGGGCTGGGCCCCCCCCCCCCCCCCCCGCCCCCCGAGTGCACAAATTTTTGTGCACCGGGCCTCTAGTTCTATATAATAAAAGCCCAATATGCTAAGTGTCCAGTCGTCTGGTCAGCCATTCAACTAATCAAAGGATAATATGCTAATGATATGCTAAGGCCATCCAACCGCTCGCTAAGACCGTGCACTGACCATCAAGGTGCAGACAGTCGACCAGTCAATCAGTAGCTATGACATGCACTGACCACCAGTGGGTAGACACTCCAACCGGTAGGTGAGCTTGCTGCTGGGGTCCAGCTGATTGGGACTGAGCGAGATGGGCTGGACATGCCCTGGAGCTCTCCCACGGCCCCCCTCCCCCCCCATGGCCAACCTCCCGCGTCTCTCCCCAGCCCCAATCGTGTACTGATGGGGTCCATTGGCCTGGCCTGTGCCTTCTCGCAATCTGGGCTGAGGGACCCTCTTCACCCCCAAGTGCACGAATTTCATGCACTGGACCTCTAGTTTAGTTATAGTTATCTTTCTAAGGCACTTTTCAGTGCTAACACTGTGACAATAAATCTGCCTTACTGAAGGCCTAGTATGTCTGAGGCATTGGGAACTGCACTAGATAATTTATCAAATTCCTTCTTTATTTGTTGCTACAAAGAGACATTTATCCTAGTATTTATTAGCAAGGAAGCACAAAAGTTAATATAACTTCTGTGAAAACTTGAAACTTAAAATACAGCAAAACTTCAATATAACAGATTAATTTAGGAGCGGGGATACTTGTTAAAAGTTGAAAATCCATTATATAATAAAGTAGATTTTCCAAATGCATATGTTTAAAAATTGACAAATTAGTGAGTTTACCTGTTTTTTACTTAGGTAGTAGTCACATTTGTGTAATTAAAATTAAGTATGTATGAAAAGTTTAATTTCACCAAAAAGTTTTCTGTATGTATTACTGTAATTTTTCCAACATATGGCCTATTCGCTAAAGTTTGTTAAAAATAACAATGAATTAATTACTACAAAAACCCAGTCTGTTAATTTTCACATGTGACATACATACCAGAAATTTTGTCTGTTAAATCTGAAGTCTGTTAAATTGAGGCCGCAAAATCAAGGGTTTACTGAATAAGGTATTTAAAGTCTTTGCTTGATTTCCACCTTCTCAATAAATCTACCTTCTCCCAGGCACAAGGGCAAAATAACCTTGATTCTTATTACTATTCATGTAATGTCCCTCTTTAGAGACATATAGTCTGATTTTCCATTCTGTATCTAAGTTTTTCTCATATTTCAAGCCTAGCTCAAGATCTAGCTTCTCTGATGTCTTAAGATTTTTTTAGCTTGCATTAATCATTCTTCATAAGTGTTCCACAGATATCTACCACAGTCCTGTTACATGTATATCTCTGCACTAGAGCTGGGGATAAGAGGAGAAAACTGAAGACCTGTTTGCTGGTAGTCTTTAACATTTAGGTCATAATTTCAGAATTATGTGTGAAACAACTGTGTTCAGGACAATCTCCTCCTCAGACTAAAGGGAGGTGATTAAGGGCATGGACTCTGGAATCAAAGGACTTGGAAAGACAAGATTT